AATTCATTGCAACTCGAAATATCAATACACATTTGTTATGCAGTCAATAGAATAAAAAGCTAAATTTTTTTCAAACTAAGCCGAATATCTATAAATCTTTTGACCGGTTTAGCTCCTGATTGCTACCTTAAAGGTAAATATGTAATTAAACCATATTTAGTGAAAAAACATAAAAAATAAGGAATTTCACATCAAAAAATTATACGATTATTTCTAAGGCTGTTAAAATGTGAGAATTTTTTCAGATATAAATTCCATTTGACCCACGCTTGATACACGCAGACACTTGTAATCCATAAAATTTCTTTCCGGGTATTTCACAGTATAAACTCAAGTAATTTCTTTCAATTCTTTGTTGACATTTCGCTGTAAGTAAAATTTTTTCTTTAAACTGACTGGGAGTGGAAATATCCTAATACTATATTCTCCTACTAGGCACGTATTCTGGCGGAGCTCTTATGAGCTTTGCTTGAGATTTACTCTTAGTGGCTTTTTTGTTTGAGCTCTCCGCTATGAAAGGCTCAAGATCCGTTGTAATAGTGGTCACCAATTTGACAGGTACTTCGTTTTCCTCCATTCCGTTATGATCGTTTCGGTTACATGACTACTGGCGTAGACTTCCGTTTGAAATATACTCGGATATTTTCTCATTGAAACCGACATTTTGGGCATGTCCAGATTCCTGGAGCCTGGATGTAGTCTGCCAGCTTGAAATGGAAACAGTCGATGTTGCCAAATCGTGTAACTAACAGTCGAGTTCGTTTCATACCTTTTTTTAAGTAGTAGTAGTAGAAGTAATATTGATTGAAATTTCATTTTTATCAATATAAAAACCTCAAGACACCTTTTGCACATGTGCTTGCCTTCTTTCCAAAATTCGAGATCAGACCTTTATTCAAATTCATATTTGAATGAAGTTTTGTATTTTCTACCAAGAAAAGAAATAGCAAACATGACAAAAAAATGGCATTTAAAATGACATCTGAATACAGACTCTTGCTGAATTTCCAGTAGACGTTAAATGACAAAGTTTTTTGACAATGTTGGACATTAAAACCAAGGTTAATAAAAATAGTCATTGGGCTTTATGAATAAAAACCAAGCAATTGCTTTTTCTTAAAATGTCAGACCTTTTTCTTAAATTTATTTCAACAAATCGAGTAAAAGTCTGAAATTTTAAGAAAAAGCGATTGCTTAGTTCTTATTCATAAAGGCCAATTATGTCTGTTTACACATGGCATTTTTTAACGGCTTTGTGCTGGATTTCCACCACGCATTAAATGATGAAAAAAACTTAAGTGACAAACTTTTTAATGTATTTTTTTTTGTTATTGAAAATTCAGTGCTGATGACGATTAGTTAAATGTACCAATTTTTTATCGAAACAGGTTTTTTTTTATTAAAATCTCAACATTCCTGCTATCTTTGCTCAAAAGGTTTTAGGATGTATTGAAACTTGTTTATTCTAAAACTTTTTCATTTTTCATAATAAATTTGTCTGTTGATGAAAATGACCATAATATATGCGTTATCCAAAAATATGTGACTGAAAATGAACTTCGTAAACGTCCCTACATACTATGTATTTGATTAAGAAAAAATTATGATCAATCAGGGAATAAGAGTTAGCGGCTATAGATTGGTTTTAGATCGCTGTTAAAAGTCACCGATCAATGCACCTAAAATAAGACCTTCCTTTGTTTTTTTTTTCATCTAAACATCTATTCGTTTTTTCTTGGTCTCACACTCTTCCCTCTTGCAACAGGTCAACGAATGTATTATCATAATGAACAATATTCTACGCCTTTTGTACCGCAAGGATATTGGCAAGACGCACAACGATGTGCGTGATATAATGCTTATTCTACTGCGCACCATCATCAAGACTTCACACGCACTCGATCGCGAAAACCAACTAGTCGGCAATCTGGTGGCCATCATGTTGGGCATCCTGCAGCGCATGGATGCCGCACACTACGATATCTTCGTTAAGCATCTGAACAATCGTTTTGAGCTGCAAGATTTCATCATTGAAATACTTTTAGTATTTCGAAGAACTCGTCTCGCCACATCAGAAGCCCGTTTTCTCGCGCGATTGGATGGATATGATAATGCACCAAAATACAGTTATACTGCGCTCGTTGCAACACATTTCCGTAGTCATCATCGATCACTTTTTCGATCCCTTCGAGAAGCAAGTGTGGTCGAATTTCTTCCAGTGCTCCATAGCATTCCTTATCCAGTCGCCGTTGCAGTTAAACGACTTCAATGACAACAAACGGCAAGTCATCTTCGCTCGGTACCGGACATACGCAAGGACACTGCGCAGGAGATACGTAAGATGTGGTTCCAGTTGGGCGAGCACAAGCCGAAATTCGTACCCCAGCTGGTTGAGCCGATACTCGAAATGAGCATGATACCAGAGGTGGAGCTGCGTAAAGCGACCATACCCATCTTTTTCGATATGATGCAGTGTGAGTATTATAGCTCGAAAATGCTGCCCAACAGCTATGGCGATACGAAGCGCAATCATTTGCATTACAAGGCGAACTTTAACGAATTCGAAACGGAAATGATCGAAAATTGGATATACTGATTGGTGCAGGTAAGTGATTCGCGTTCAAAACTGAATTTGGTCGTGTTTTTTTTGCATTTTTTTCTAATAATTCGAATGTTATTACCAGGCAAAGGAGATGCCGACTACAAGGACCTCTTTCAATGCATTATGATGGAGAAGTGTCAGGCGCACAATATACTTAATATCGAGGGCACAAAATTTGTGAATATGGTGACAAAGCTTATTGAACGCCTACTCGAGTATCGCTGCATCATACAGGACGAGAGCAAGAGAGAATCGCATGGCTTGTACATTCTCGCTGCTGCAATTCTACTCGCAGGTGAATCGCAAAGAGATGTACATACGATACGTGTACAAGCTTTGCGACCTGCATATGGAGTTCAACAACTACACTGAGGCCGCTTTCACACTGAAACTGCACTACAGAGTTGTTGCAATGGAACGACACAGAATTGTCGCCCCTCTTGCGCTCCCATCGGCATATGGCGTGTCGCACGCATCGCGAACTCAAAGAGGCGCTCTACTATGAAATCATAGACTACTTCGATAGGGGACACATGTTCGAGTGTGCCATCGATATGTGCAAAGTGCTGGCACAAGAATACGAGAATGAGATCTATGACTATTTGAAATTGGCGAAAATGCTAGCAAAGATGGCTCAGTTTTATGAGAAAATATTGAATGAGCTGCGCCACACATCAGAATATTTCCGTGTTTGCTTCTATGGTCTGGGCTTTCCACGTTTCCTCCAAAATAAGGCATTCATATTTCGGGGAGAGGAATATGAGCGTTTGAGTGACTTCTGTTCGCGCATTTTGGTGCAGCATCCACAAGCAGAACTCATGCAGACTCTAGAGGCGCCAGGTGAGGATATCACACAAGCGGACGGTCAATTCATACAAGTGAATAAGGTGGAGCCGTGATGAATGAGAATTTCATAAAATTCGAAGGAAAGATGGTATCAAGCAAAATTGTCAACTATTTTACTTCGAATAATGTGCAGAAATTCCAATTCTCACGCCCCTATCGCGAAAGCAACGGCTGTGGCGGCGTGGATGATGTGCGTAGCCTCTGGTTGGAAAGAACGGTGATGACCACAAGTTATTCCCTGCCAGGCATATTGCGCTGGTTCCCACTTGCAGACACGAAAAAATTCAAGGTAAGGGCAAATTAATGTAAATTTCAATGATGTCGATCAGAATTTATTAAATGATTACTAAGTACTCTATGTAGTATAGTCGATAGATATCCCTGAGTGTGAAACGAATGTGTAAATACATTTTTTAATAAACTTCCTCTTCTGTGCCATATCGGCGATTGAATAAACGTGTATACGTTGTTTGATCCACTCGAACCTACACCAAGCAACTTTTTATATCGACAAACCGTTTATTTATAATCATTCAGATATCACCCCTCGCTTTGGCTATTGAAACAATGAAGAAGACCAATAAGGATATACGCGACCTGATTATTGAGCACAGGAATGATGAAACATTGGCCATAAATCCGCTTAGCATGAAAATCAATGGCATTGTCGACCCAGCAGTCATGGGTGGCTTCAACAAGTATGAGGATGCCTTCTTGACATCTGATTATTGGATGAACACCCCGAGGAGAAACATCTAGTGGAGGAATTAAAAGACTTAATCGCCTCGCAGATACCACTACTCGAAATTGGTATATTAAATCTTCTTGTCTTTAGTAAATAAAATTATATACATTTAACAATTCATTTACTTTCCATGCAGCCATCACATTGCACAAACACAAGGCCCCAGAAAGCTTAAAACTCTTCCATGAACGTATGGAGCAATGCTTCGCTGATATGCAGGCGAGTGTAGAAAACAAATATGGCAAGAAGGTAAATTACATCCTAACGAATATGCGATATATTTTAAGTACTAAGATCAAATTATTCCTCTATGTAGACCTGTGACTTGAAGCTAGATCGCGAGTCGGTGATTATGCGTCGCAATGGCTCCTTCCTACCTGGCATGTTCGAGGGCAATAATCGCTTATCGGAAACGAGCATGGGCTCGTCAGAGTAAGTATACGCTGTTAGTTTGTTATCCATCTCGAAATATGCATTTATTCACACTGTACTCATTGTATTTCCATACGCAGTAGCGGCTTGTCGAAATCTACTTCCTCGACACGTCCACAAACCAGTTCGATAAAATCAACATTCGCGAGTTTCAATTTCAACCCCAGGTAACGTCTACTAAAAAATAATTGAGTTGCAATATTTGATATAAGATAAGACATTGAGTACATATAACACTTAGCACATCTAATCCAACCAAGCACGCAACATACATATTTTTTATCGTAAAATTTACCAACAAATAATCACCCTTAAATAAACTGTTTACTAATCAATTAAATGTCAATTTCCACTCCTCGTTCTTTACGCTCTGCATTTTTAGTTTGAAAATCTGATTCAATTAAATTAATTTTTATATATTTTAGTTTGCTTTAAAATCTTTTTAAGCTTTACCATTTTGAATTGAGGGGGAGGTTTGTGACTCTCTTCTGTTGTTGATTTGGTTTTATTATATCATAGTTTGCCGATTTTGTGACTTTTTATTTGTTTCCCTTATTTTCTATTTGGTTTTTGCTTATTTTTGCATTGTTCGCCTTTCGTTTCCATTTCTATCTCGTACCTCAACAACAACAACAACAACAACCACAACAACTTCAACAGACCTAGCCTCGGCCATTCGCCCAGCACAAAAAGCAAGTCTAAAGAGAAAACGCCCTCAAAACGGCGCTCAATGAAAAAGGTTTGTGATTTTTGTTGCCTCGCTTGGTGGTTTATATTGCTTACAAATCGGTTATGCTTAATTATGCATATTTTTATTTATGTCTTAGTTGGATCGCGAAACGCTGAGCCTACCAGTTGCCAATAGTCAGTGGTATATGTCACCACTGACAACAATAACGGCAACACCCGAACGGGAGTCAATTACATCGATTGCATCAATAACGAGCGCCTCCAATTCCTCTTTAACAGCTAAATCACCAGATCCTAAAGTGTTGACGCAAGAGGTAAATTAGGGAATGAATTGTTCTAACGAAAATTCTATTTATGCGGGGCTGATGCTGAATCCACCACAGTAAGTATACGCATTCATTGATAGTACTTTCGTAGATTTCACCAAAAATCGCATATCGATGGATTCAGCAACAGCGTGTTAATATTTAGATTAACTAGTAGATACCGATGTATATAGGATGTATTTGCTTTTATTATTTCCATCTTTATAGTTAACCACAAAGCGACCATTGCGTTCTGAGAAGGAAAAGGAACGACGTTTGTCACGCCCTGCCAGCATCGCCACACCGACTACTGGCATGAAAGGATTCTCCGGTACTGATGCGCATTCATTGTCGGGTGCGGATAGCAGCAATCGTAATTCTGTTGGTGAGTGAAAATTTCGAAAGAACGAGTTATAGAAAGGATATGATCTAAAGAAAGGAATTAAATGTATGTGAGTTCTCTCCAACCCTTGCAACATTGCGGGGGAAAAAGTTATTCGTATTAATTTTTTTCTGCCTTTCATTTGGGACTAGTTCGGGATCACTTTGGGACAAGTAAAAAAAAAGTTTCAAGACTTGTTGTCATTTTAGGACAACTTCGAGGTCATTTCAAGATAGTTCGAAACTTGTCACGAAAAACTGAATCGCCTAATGCTTTGCC